GTATAGATATATATATATATATATATATATATATATATATATATATATATATATATATATATATATAGATATATATATAGTATATACAACAACCAGGTTTTAAATACTATAAAATAGAAAATATACTGCTCAATATTGTCACAACTAGTTACCTTGCTGGCGACGTGGAAAGGAGCAACTTGACTATGGCTCGAGAAGAGCGCAGCAGATGTTCTCCCATATCGACAGCATGTGGGTAGCTTTCTAACCTTCCGACGTATGTTGTCCAGATTTTACTAAATACTATGACTCGTGAGGCTGTGAGCTTTATAATTTCTTAAATATTATTAGAATACTATTAATAAAAATATCATCTACTAATACTATGTAGTCCACTGTCCACATCTATTGATGACGGGTACGCACTACGCACTACGCAGTAACTATACAACGAGCCAACAGGCTCTTGAGAAGTCAGGACTCGGGATGCAGGTCGCAGGACCTGCTCCACAGACCACCAGGTTGGCTGTTGACTTTGAGTTCTCACTTCTGACTTCACTTCTCAGCTTCTGAGTTCAGCCTCTCATCGCTCTCAGGGCGTGTCTTAACGGGAACTAATCCATCGTAATATTTAGCACAAGTCAAGACCACTGGACCAGGCTTGTCTCAAAATTTTCAAATTCTCAGTGTCGAGCTGTCGGCCTTTCTCACTCGTCCCTCGTCTGTGAACTGTGGACTCGTGGAGTGTGGAGTCGCTCTCAGTTCTCAGGCCCGTTCCTGGTTGGATCCAACTCTACTTTTGGCGCGGGCGTTGGGAGTGTTTTAAATACCTTCATTCTGTCAGGACGAATGAGCTGTCAGTGTATTTATATACTACAAAATATTTTCCCGCCATTTTTTATAAAAACTCGGATTTTTCTAAAACAAATTCATTTTTATATTTTTATATATAATATACAATATCATCATGACCCTCTCTAGTCTAATAAGGAAGGCTTTTATATCGCTTATTTTTTATTTTTCCGAATATTAATCAGGTATAATTTTGAACTATTGGGATAGGAATTCCTAAAAAGAAAAATATCCTGAAATAGGACTCGATTATCCAATAAGAATCAAGACTCAATTTGTTTTAAAGAAGGTGACGACTCGTCACTATTTGAGCGGTACCAGATATTTTATATCAGAGTTGGGTCAAAATGGGTTTATTTACAATTTGAGAAAATTCAGTACAAATTGACGTAATAGTGACGACTCATCATTATTTGGCCTGGTACTGGTGATATCTAGTCCTGGTAAAAGACAAAAACATGTCACTGTTCTTTTTAGGAGGCTATTCCCTCTCTCTAGTAGAGAGAGATTAAAATATAAATACCACAACGGACTAAAGTCCGTTGGCGGTAGGACATATCATAGAAGCTTTGAAGATTTGAAGTGCTGTTACATATTTACATAACATACTTTACAACATATTAATACTGCGTCCATCAATAGAAGACATCGGGGTAATGAATAGGATATGCAACTGCGCACAACACTGTACGATTTCTAGCAAACAAAGCATACGAACTATTATCAATAATTTTTCACTTCTACAGCCGGCTCTCCCCAGGCATATCTCCGCAATCAGCTGTCTGCATACACGCTCCACTAGCAACTCAATACTCATCAGATTTACTAACAATTGTACACAAAGCGGAATAAACAGCACTCTGATCCACAGCAGAATGCTTTCGCATAAATCAGACACCATGAACAACAGTACTGACGAAGTGCCAGCTCAAAAGGTACAGCTTGCAATGTAAAACTAGACTATATATATATATATATATATATATATATATATATATATATATATATATATATATAGTATATATATATATATATGTATATAGATATGCATATGAATATACATATCTATACAAATATATATATATATATATATATATATATATATATATATATAT